TACTAAAAGCATGTGCAGTGCTCATTAAATGAAACGCATAAACTTAAGGCCAGGGGAGTTGAGGGGGTTCTGACACCCCCAAAGGTTTTTTCAATATTTCACTTTTCGAGTGGCACTAATGTACCGCAAAATTGACCACCAGTGGCTAAAGTCAGTCGCTGTAGACAAACATCCCCCGAAAAAAAAAAAAAAATTCCTGGGTACGGCCCTGCTTAAGGCTAAATAACCCCAAACTTTCATGTTCAGGGGTGAACAGGGTATATGGGTTCGGGAGCAGTCCTTGAAGCAGGCAAAATGCCTTTTCGTAGCAGGCTTGGAGCAGCCAGAAGGGCATTTTCAAGTAAGTTTAGAGCAGTAAGAACATTTGGAACAGATGTAGCCCCCTTCAAACCACTTTTTAAGATACAATTGTTCAATGCTGCACTTTTAAAACACTACGCTAAATGGTGCAATAGCCTCATCACTGCGATAGAAACTATATAGACACTCCCGGTGGACATTTGCTGTTGCCCCATATAATTTAAAAATTGATAACATACCCCTGCACATTGTATGTTATATCTTTACGGGTTAAAGCTCGCGAACAAGGGCGACGAACGCGGTTGAAGCAGAGATCAAACGATCCGGCCCCTACCGCCGCTCAGACGCCGCGCACGATAACATCTGATACCCTTGCCCGGAAGGCATGTAGTCGAAGCAGAGGGGAAGCGTTCCCTTTGCCTTGGCAGAGCGTGGAAAAAAAAAAACAAGCAAGGAGGATGGGGGTCTCGCTTGAGCAACAACTATGAACTTTGCTTCTAAAAACATGGTCGCGATCAATGGTGCGTACGCTATGTCGGCAGCCATCAGCAGCCAGCTCTCGTATACAATGCTACATCCTGCACTCTCATTGTGAAGAGACTGTGCGAAAAGTGTTGCTCCCCTTGAAGTGGCTGTGGGAAGACTGCACTTCAGCGTCTAAAGGCACCAAATGAAAAAGACGCAGAGCCAAGTATCCATGTCGACGAGCGTGTTCAATTTCAAGTCAAGTTTCTTGCATCTGTGGCGCAATCCCACACTGAGGGCTTTCTTTCTCCTAAATAGACCAATCCGAACCTTTTATTGAAGTGAAAGAATACTTTTAGTGCCCAGGTAAGGCGACCGTTTCATGTGCCGAACAGCAATGAGACAGCAGCCAGCGGGTACAGCAGGAACAGCACGAGCCTCCGCCACAACAAATGTCTTCTTCATCGTTCCTATAGCAGTGCCCATATTTGTAACTACAATGACTCCTCGGTGGAAAAGGAGCCATCCTGGCGATCTATGGCACAGGCAGGACTAGTGGGCCATAGTCAAGTTTTAAACGATCGACGTACACAGTTTCACGCCCGTGGCGCCGTTGATCTGTTGGTGGCTGAAAAAGCTCAACATTGTCGTTCACTGGCAATGTGTAGCCCAAGACTCAGTACAAGCCGTCATACTTGGGTATAATCTTTGAAGAAAAGTCGCGGGCAGACGATGTCATGCAGAGCCACATGATTTTTCCACGTTCATAGACGAAGGGGATGAGCGTTGGTCATAGGAGTGCTTCTGGCGAGCCTGATCATGCGTGGTAAGCGAAAATGCGAGCTGCCGACATTCTTCAACATAAGTGGCGGCTTCAGCCAAAGTCATCGATTGTGAAGGGTCTGGCTGGTACAGAAGGATAGTGCCCAAGAATGAGGAATGTGCCTGACCATAAAGATGAAAGAACAGGGAGAATTCAGCTGTAGATTGAATGGGGCTGCTGTACGGGTAAGTAACGAATGACAGTATGCGATCCCAGTTGGTGTGGTCATTGGAAACATACATGGAGAGCAGGTCACCTAGTGTGCGATTAAAGCCCTCGGTCATCTCATTTGTTTGGGATGATATGCAATGGTTTTTCGATGCATGATGTTGCGTTCGTGCAGGAGGGCTTCTACAGCTTCTGTCAAAAAGGAATGCCCACGGTCAATAAGAAGCTCGTGGGGTGCATCGTGCCGAAGGACAAGGTTGCGCAGAATGAACAAGCAGACTTAACGCACAGTTGCTATGGGAAGTGCCGAACTTTCAGTGTAGAGTGTAAGGTGGTCCATGGCTGCGATGACCCAGCGGTCTCCATTTGATGAGTACGGTAGGGGACCGTACAAGTCGATTCCAATGCGGTTGAAAGGCCAAGAAGGACAAGGGGGTGGCTGAAGTTGCCCAGTGATTGAGCGAGGAGAGCGCTTCCGACGATGGCACAAGGAACATGAACAAACATACTGCCGAACAAAGCGGTACGTTCCACGCTGTCCCAGTATGAAGTGGTAAGCGCTCACAATAAATGGGACGACACATACAAGCTCGTTTACCTCAATTTATATCTCGCTGGTGTGGCACAGCTGCAGTTTAACAAGCATAGAGCCGAAGTTCCCTCTTGGTCAACCTTTAAGACGCGCTCTGAGGAAGTCTGGCCGACCCGCTCTTCGCAAGCTCCGCACCAAACAGCGCTTGCGCGGCCGCGCACAGCGCTGTCGCGGGACCTTTACATCGTATATTGAGGATGTTCTGGACCTCTGCCATCGTATCGATCCCGACATGTCTGACACTGACAAAATACGGCACATTATGAAAGATATTCAGGACGACGCCTTTCAGGTACTTGTGGCAAAAAACCTCAAACTGTCACCCAGCTTATTAAGCACTGTCAGACCAACGAGCTGCGGAGAGAGTGCATTTCTACGCGACTTGCAAACCTCGACAGGACCACCACATCTGCTTTAACCATTGGCGACATTTCCTCCAAACAAACCATGCTAATGCAGCAAATCCAGCAGTTCGCTCAAGAAGAAGTTCAACGCCAACTGTCTCTTGTGCCCTACGTTCTGACCAGTGTGCACACGCTGACCTCATTGCTCCGCAAGGCATTGAAGAGCAAGTTTCTGACATTCTGCCTCCCACATACCATCCTTCGCCTATCGCCGCACCTCTGACTTACGCTGAGGCCGCAAGACTATCGTCGCCGTCGCTACCACCTGTCACGAATCCAGCTGCGCAGCTCAGTCTCTTCTACCCAGCGAGTCTGCCTATCCATCCGCACCCACCTCCTTATCGCCACCCCGCAGCACCCTCAACTAACCCTTGGCGCATGCCTGACAACAGGCTCATTTGCTACTACCGCCTTCTCCCCGGTCATGTAGCACGCTACTGCCGTCGTCATGATTGCAGCATTAAAGTCCCCTTTCAGCCTTGTGCTATGGGACCTCCTTCTGTATACACAAACCCCAATGCGTGTATATTTTTGTGTATATTTTTGGGGGACAAATAAAGATTTTTTTATTTGATGTGATAGGGACAAATACAGGCCCTTCTATAGGAACGACGAAAAAGACTTGTGGCGGAGGCTCGAGCTGCTCCTGCTGTACCCGCTGGCTGCTGTCTTCTTGCTGTTCGGCACCTTTAACGGTTGCCTTACCTGGGCGTCCTAAAGAATTCTTACAAAAATAATATTTCATGAAAACTATCTGGTTCTTGTTCTATTTCACTCAACATTCTCTTCTTGGATGTCGTTCTCAAAGTCCTTCGATGCATGTGCTATTCACGGGGGAGGTTCAAACAATTTACAATGATGGCCATATTTTCGTACACCAGCATTTCGTAGTTACGCGAGATCAAAACCAAAATAGCCAGCCTCACTTTGTCTAACATTACAATTTGCTGATATTGCATTCACTGCTTCACCCATTTGGTGCAACTGTGACTTTTTTTAGTTAAGTACAGCAGCCCATCTTTTTTTTTTTTTTACTCGAACATGCGAGTGTCAACCGCCAAGTTGATAAGTGCGAAGCACAGCGGACAAATGAACGAGAATACGTCACGCATGCGCTCGATGAGGAATCATCTGCACCAGGCTGGGCTAGGCAGTTCCAGGAACCAGACCCCCCCCCCCCTTTTTTTTTGAGCACCGTTACATCCATCTTTCTTCTTTTTTTTCCGAACGCTGCCACCAAGTTACTAAAGAAACAGTTTCACTGGGATGGTGACGCAATGAACGCAATAGGAAAGGCTAGCAGCCAACTCTTTTACATCAGATATCGCATAACGCTACAAAACGCTGGTGTAGGAGAATACAGTCGTGCCAGAAAGAGATGCTCTTCTGGTAGTCTCTTCGCATTGAGAACGCAGCACCTAGAAGGGTTCATAAGCCATTCGTGCTTATGCCTGCTGTGATCGCACACGTATAGCGATCGCGACCATGCCCTATGGACTAAAGCTCATAGCTGCTCCTAGAGCGATCACAGCCTTTACAAAACCGAAACTGTATTCACGAAACCAAAAAGACAATGTTTCAGGTACGATTCCGGGCACAGCGCTTGATGGCTTTTGTACTTTGCAGCTAAATTTCGTTGCTGAGGTGCTGTACGGCACTGATAGCAGAGTTTGCCACAGCAGAAGTGGTTCGGTGCAGGATGGCGCAGGTAAGCAAGTTTAGCTCACAATGGTTCAAACGGCGCAGCTGTTTCACCCCTGCATGTAGCATCAGCATATATTAGATCGCACATTTCTACGAGCCTACACCCCCTTTAGTGGCTATATATTTGCAAACGCACAACAAGGTTACGTCAAGCAACTGTGCAAAGCAGTTGTTACACTTCTGTGAGCACTATATTCTGTGAGCACTATATTCTGTGAGCACTATATTCTGTGAGCACTATACATTATAAGGAACATTAAGACCAGCCCCTGTCAACAGATAGCCTTCCTTTGAATGTGCATGCAATGAAAAAATATTTGAGATTACAAAATTATTGATCTGCACTTTTGGACAATGCCACATATGACAAACCAGAGATCTACAAGATAGATATTCTGTAATAAGTAACAGGAGGAATTTTAGAAAGTGAACATGCTATGTGGAATGAAGAATCTTATAATATAAAACTAAACTCTGTAATTAACCAGCTCTTACTAACTCACAGTTTAGAAAACATGAGCCGACCATTAAGAGAAATTCATACCTTGAAAGGACGATTCCATGGTAGCTCCTTTCACTTTGAGTGCCTCACAGACATTGGCAATTAGAGCCTGTATGGTACTATCATAATTTCCATTGTTCAATGAGACGTGAAGCATTTCAATCTCCATTAGCAAATCTTCGTCATTTACAGAGCATTGAGCTGTAAAAAAACAATAATTAGGAAGCTTTCAGTTTGTAAAGCAGTAAAATGCAGGTGTGCATGGTACATATACCCTTAATTTAATACATATAGCCTTCTTGCTCACCTCCAAATGGGAGGCTTTAGGACACTTTAGAGGTCTCCAACTTGCACAGCCTTACTGCACTAAGTTCTGATAATGAGTGCACATGGGCCAGCCAAGTTACAAAATCCCAATTTCAACATATTTCATGATACTGACACTATTGTGAGATGGTTACCCAAATAATTAAAGTAATTTCAGAATTAGCTTCATGCCTAAGACTGCGAGCATGTGACATGATAGAGTCAACCGCTGCTTTCCTGGTGCCACGTATGTTCAATACCGCACTGAGAATGTTCTGCCATCAGTACAGCAAACAAGCAGCAACAAACACAGGTGACACTGTGTAGCCACCTACATAGCAGAAACAGAACTGAGTATTGAATATTCATCGAAACCACTTTGCGAATGGGAACAATGCTACAAACAAGCTCAATTGTGCACAGCAATGTTTACGAGCACACCAGGTTGACAAGCTAGGCTCATTTAAAATGTCTAATCAGTAAAAAAATATTGAGAGGCATGTGAAAATACTTTAGGTTATTATTAGCCACTGTTTTAAATTCATTTTTGATAATAATTAAATTTTCAAGGATGTTGAATATTCGTTCCATTTGAATGCTGAAAGGAAACCACAGTTGCAGTCTACAGGACGAAAACATGATGCAAGTGAGGTCTGTGCTGAATGATTCTCGGCAAGATAGTCATAACAATGGCAGAGAGTCATAAGTTCCCGAGTACAGGGGAGATAACTTCTGTACAAAAAGTTCAAGCCATTCTATAGAAATATCTCCTTTTTATGCACTTCAATATGCATTTATTGTCTAACATTACAAAAAGCTACACCACATTGAAATTTTTTTCAAAGATTGTGCCGTGCTGTGCATCATGCATCTCGATCAATGAGCATGATCTTTTTTTAGTGTGCTGTTTCCTAGCATAGTAAATTTTAAAACGTAACATATTTTACAAGCTATCACTAGTATTTTACCTAAAGTCTTATCCTGCTACTATTCAAAGTTGTTTCCATTTCCTTTGATGCACAAAAATGGCATTTGCACAAACCTTCAATATCAGAGTAAGAATTTTATTAATCAAAAGTAGGTACAATAACAGGCATTTAGTATACAGAAGGAGGTCTCATAGCCAAGAGACTGTATGTTTCAAGTTTTAAAAACTATTGAGCAAGTTAGTTAAATCATCATGACAAGCACAACCATTTTTATTTATAATATGAGATATATATATATGCTATTAGAATTGTGTTTGAAATTATTCGACCAAAATCATCATTCGCTTCGAATTCACTTTGAACCAAAAATTCACTATTCGCACAAGGCTACCAAATAACCCATAAAATATATGATTCAACATTTAAGATAATAGTATTCCTAGTGATCTGATTCCACATTTTTTAAATGAAAAAATGGCATTACTTGAGTAGCCCATGATAAAAGATCAGAGAAAGATGGAGGCTTAAAGCGATGAAATATCACTGAACAGGACATGCTATTAGAGCCAACATTTCAACAAGTGGAAATGTCTTCTTGTTGCTACTGCTGCGACGACGTTGCAGCCCTGTTGAAGACAAGTCCACTTGTCAAAACATTAGTTCAGATGACATTCCCTTTTCAATAATTCTTTCATCACTAGTGCACCACATGCAAGACAAGGGCATAGAAGCCTATGAACACACAAACATTTTCTTCATATGCTTGTCATATCACGTTTCATATGGTACGCTACTTTACAACTAGCCACGTCAATAAACAGTCATTACAGCCATAGAAAAGTAGGTGAATTTTATGCATTTCTTCACATCTTTGGTTCACAGTGTGGAAGTGTACATGAACTGCCAAGTTTTGCGCTCTCTACTTACCTCTGATAATTCAAGAGTATACTTAAAAGGGCACAAACACAGCAACAGTACTGTCAACACGTTATGTAAGAGGGCACAGAAGTTTACATACAGTGTACTGCTCAAAGCCACTGCTCTAGCAGATTTTCTATGTAAATAAGCCTCCTTTCAACTGGTGGAAGTGATGGGTCAATTTGATGGGTCAATTGCCAAGCCACTGGTCACACCATTCATTTCTTTAACAACTTGCTATGTCGCCCAGCACCTCCTGCTCTGCAATCCACATCTACCCCTACACCCTTCAGGCAGCCTGAGGATCGATCACTGCTTCCTATCACTAGTTCAAGACTTTCACTCCTTGATGCCCCATTCTACTATGCTGACAGGAAACATAAAAGAATTTTGCAGTTCGTAAAGCAAGAAATCTGCGACCATTCAAGTGAGGACCTAGATGCTGGGATGCTCACAAGAATGCTGGAAGAGACGGGAATAAAATGTGCAAATGATATAGTCATCCTTGCACTATCGTCTTTCCACTGTACTTCTCCCTGTGTGAAGCTTTCCTCACCATCCCTTCTTCAACAAACACGAAGAATGGCTTTTGTCTTCATTACATCAGTGCGTTCTCTTAGAGTGTGATAAACATGAACCCTGTTGTGTTAACAAACACTGGATAATACTGAATTTGTCACCTATGCATTGATTTCACACCACCTAGAATGAAAATACTTGTACACATTCTAATTGAATGTATAGCATTTATCCACTTCAAAAAGCATTGTTTATATTGAAGCATATACCTATCTGCCTTTCTTGTTTTGTCAAGAATGAAATACTGCACTCTTAGAATTTTTCTGACTCACCGTTCGTGTCAAGTGACATAGCCATACTCTCTGCTGCACTAAGAAGAGAGGATGGAGACTTGTCAGTATCGGAGCTCGATCGCAGTGGACGTGGGCGTTCAAGTTTACGGACACCTTTAGTGCTTTTCGTTGACATTTTATTCGAAGTAATATACCTAGAAAGAGCCAAACATGAAATCGATTGAAGCTGAGCTAAATAAACTAGTACAAAGCCTCAGCCAAGATAATTCTGTAGTTAGAATTATACCCGAATCAGCTACTTTAGATTACCTTCCACGGTGTTCTGAAATCATATCTAAAAATTGCCTTTTATGACAGATGATCTTCGATAAATTATTTTCTTGCTTTACTTAACAAAACAAAAAATATGGCTACTTTGATGAGTAAACCATAAGACCACAGTGACTTCGGAGTCCTCAACAATTAAACATAAATTAATGAGAACCCAAATGTGGCATTCTGGAATGACACAAAACACAGGAAAAGTAAGTGTGGCAGCTTGGGCTAGTTGGTATGACATGACGATAGTTATAGCGCGAGAACAGAGCGACAACAAGGACACGAAGGACACATGCGCTAACTTCCAACTGAGTTTATTGCGGAGAGCGCGAAAACATATAGAGACAGTAAATCATGTGACAGAAACCTTGTGGCACAAAGAGCAATAGATGAATAAGGGAAAAAAAAGCACAAAAAAGGCCAAGAAAAATCTATAAGGAAACAAAACAGAAAACTAAAAGTAATATAACTACTTGCGCGCACCTAAACCTTCGAGGAACCTTAGTTCCTTCTCGGACAGAGACACGGAGGGCTTACTAATGCACGACACCTGTTCGCGTGCCATTTGCACGGCCTCAACGATGACTCTGGTGCGCTCATCCCTGTGCGTGTACAGAGTCACTGTGTCCTTGAAAAGGGGAGCACAGTTGCAATGAGTGCAGTGCTGAGCAAAAAAACCATCTTTCCAGTCTCTAACATTGTTAGCGTGTTCTCTCAGTTGATCGTTCAGACACCTTCCGGTCGTTCCGACATAAACACCGCAGGAAAGGAGGGTCCTATAGATAAGTTCTCGGGAGCACGCCACATACCTGTTTCTATGCTGAACTCTACATTCATTTGATTACTGCGTTTTTAGGAGGTTTGTGGATTTGGCGAGGCTGATTAATTTGAACGGTGCAGAGAACAGCACACGAACTCCCACTCGTTTTCCGATTTTCTTGAGCCTATGCCATATGTGGTGTTTGTATGGAACCACGGCTATTCTTTCATGCTCTGTATCCGTACTGCTCCGATCCTGTCGCTTCCTCTGCTCTGCCCTGTTAGTCCGCAGGATAGTCTCAGCAACGGAAGCGATAAACGCTCGGGAAAACCTGAAGCCGGGAAACTGGAGCTTTGAAGCTCGCAGAGATGTGAACGCATGACCTATTTAAGGCATTCTCAAGACAGGTTAGTGCTATGCCTCGCTTAACTAACTTGCTGTGAGCAGAAGAAAAAGGAAGTAAAGGTTTCTGCGCACGTGGTTCATAACACCAACAAATGTGCTGTGTGCTAAAAAACAGTCCTAAATTCAAAAAATGTAACTTGTCATTCTCGGGCATTTCATGTGTCAACACAAGTGGCTTTAAACAATCTTCAAACAAGCCTATCGTTTCAGCCTTAATTGAGTGGAACATAGAAGGGTTACAATTTAGAAGAACCAAGCAATCATCCACGTATCTGAATACTTTGATGACATGGGTGCCCTCTAACTTTTTCTGCAGTTTATAGCTCATTTTTGCCGATTGTAGATCACTGAGTAGAGGTGCTATGCATGAGCTGGTTGAAACACCTTTTTTCTGTAGATAAATGCAATCATTCCATTGAACTAAAGTAGAGGTAAGGTAGAGCAATACAAGGTCAAGAAAACCTCATGCACTGATGCCAGTTTTTAATTGAAAGTTCAATTCCCCGAAGACTTCTATGTTATCCCTTATGTACTCTAATACCTCATCGTGAGGCAGTGAGTAGTATAGGTCCTTTATAATGATTGAAAAACCGAAAACATTAGATTGATTTGACTGTTTGAAAAATTCTATCAGTGTCTGCGAGTTTTTGATCAGAAATGGGTCATCAATCTTTAGCCACTTTAGATGGTTCTGAATAAACAGGCCGAGTTGCTTTTGCCATGTTCCACTTTCTCTCGCAATGACTCGGATGGGCACGTCAACTTTATGTGTTTCGACAGAAAAAAATATGCTGAACCCATTTTTGTCCCTTTTTTGTCGCTACTAATATTCTGTGCTGTTTCCCTTGCCCTAGGTCCGAAGTTCGCCGTCGACCGAGAGAGGTCCGCACCCAAGCTTCTTTCAATGGTGCGCTCTGTTGCTGGCCGCGCTTCACCAGAGGATTCGGACAGATGCATCTCAGACGGCGTCGACGTGCTCCTACAGGGTAAGCCTACCAGCACCAGCTTTCCGTTGCGGAAGACGGCCAAGTTTCTGAGAGACAATGAACTTTGTGTCGTGCCGTCAGATAAGGAGGATGGTTTCGCTGTTCTTCCTAATTGCTTGTACCTAGAAAAGGCAGTCACAGCTATTCGCTCTGTTTTCAAATGTTGCACCGACATTCGTCTAGATAGAGTAAAAACACAAGCCAAGGAAATGTGTCGTAAACTAGAGTTGAAACTAGAGTTGGAGCACCTCGAAGCAAATTGATTATGCGTGTCGCCAGCTTTTCGACTACGTCACAGCGTACGCGCACTTCGTGGTCGAATGAAGAGACCTTTACAGCAATTGACTGCTGCCAAGAACAACTGGGAGACTTGAGGCACCAGAAGTGAAACTCTGGCCTTTACAACGAGATTGCCGTTTTGCTGTGACTGGATGGCTAAAAGCAGTTACCATCAGAAATACAAGCGAAGATTAAGATTCCCGCACAGCAATAAAGGTAAGTGCAAAGAAAACTCTATCAAATGATCAATTTATGAAAAAACATTTGTAGTGGCAGCAAAGTTTTTGAAGTGTGAGCTGTTCTTGCACGAATAACATATTGCTGATAAAGGGTTCAATTGAAATATTGTACGCTGAGTTTCATCAATGACATGTTTTTGGCCCACAAGTGCCACCTGGTGCATTTAATCTGACCAAGCTCGAACCGGATTAGCTTGGGCCATGTAGCAGCGGCCATATAGTTGATCGCAATCTAGAAAAACAATCCGTATTACCCTTATCATGATTAAAAGTGCCGCTGTGACACCGGTATTAAGTATGTACAGTGCTCAACTCGGCTGTCTATAACAACGAAGCGTCGTGCGGGAAACAGCACGGGAGACACCTGCAGTCGCCAATACGGCACATCTGAGCATGCGCGGCGCCAGCTATGTGCCTGCCTGGCAATACTGATCCTTGTTTATCACGCGGATGCAACAACCGCTTTGGCCGTCAAAAGCCCTCTGAGCGATTTCGCGACAAAACAAGAAAAAAAAGACGAAGTAAAACCATTGTCGCTGTGATATGATATCACGAAGCGAGAATATTTTTTGTTGTCGTTTTATTTCGATTTTGTAGTGTTGACAGCGCTTCGACGGCCAAAACAGCCATCGCGGCCATGAAGATAAAAAAGGGTGGAAACTGCAGGGCAGGCACATCATTGGCACCGCGCATGCTCGGATGTGGCGTATTTGCGACTGCAGATGTCGCTCGCGCTGTTTCGCGCGCGGCGCTCCGTCGTTATAGACAGATGAGTTGAGCACTGTACATTTACCACAAAATGGCAACATGGATGCCAATGCTGAAATTTAGCCTCTAGTACGCACAGGCAAATAATTCTTCCTAATTGCTTGTACCTAGAAAAGGCGGTCACAGCTATTCGATCCGTTTTCAAATGTTGCACCGACATTCGTCTAGATAGAGTTAAAATGCAAGTTGTGTTTATTGAGTGTTTCTTGCTTACGGCTCCACTCCGTTATGAACATATTCAACACTTCTCGTTTCATAAAAACCAACATCAAGAAATATTCCTGGTATCTCAAAGGGGCCCTTCAAGTAGCCATGTAATGAATTCACTAAAGGAGCTTATTGCCTCATGAATTCACAGCAGCAAAATTTCAAGAATGTGTCCAGAACGACCGGAATTGCGAAGATTTGTCACACAATGGAGTTGCCTTTTTTCTTCTCTCAACCCAACAAAAACACTGGAAGCTAAATATAGAGGGATGGCACCGGGGAATAAAATATGTCACACATGCCTCGTGATTCTTGAACACGTTTTTTTTTTCTTCGAATGCACGACTTTTCAACATGTTGTGCAGCTTTTCAGTCACTTGCTCAACATGCGGCATGCTGAACGGTAGCGTAGCCAGAGGCAGGGGGCTAGTTTCACTCCCCTCGTCGCCCTAGAATTTTTAAACTTAGCATATATGAATATATACAAAAACATGCTAACTCAGACACAAACATATATAAAGTGTAGTTGAACCACCCTGTCAAAACAATTTCTCGCTACATTACTGCCCATGACTAGGTATGTTGAGAAAGTGACCTAGCTACCAAAACATGCAACAGAAATACCTCATGCTGCGGGCAAAAATGAACAAGAATTGCCCACGCTATATGAAAATGTTGTAAGTTCCTTTCACCGGGCTCAGTGGTTGCCCATTATACTTGCATACCAGAGACATAGCCCTGATGTACTGACACAATGGTTCACACACAAAGTTGAAAAGGGAAAACTATGACTACTGTTTTCTCAGCTAGTTGCAAAAACATTTTTACCAGCACATTACAATAGTTTTTTCAAACAATAACTATAAACCCTAAACTGACTTAGAGCACCATAGTGTTTTTTAAAGAAGACATTGTAAGTTCTACACCAGCTGTAACAGGCTAATTCACTGTCTACGTTTTAAAACAGCCAGAAAAAGTTAGCACTGATGCAAATTAGTTGGCAATTGATTCTTTTTCTGAAGTCTGTGGGCTTTTTCCAGCAACACAAAACACACAAAAAAACTTTAAAGTAATGTTTGCCTGTTCTTCCCTTTCAATGCACATGTCGTGGTCACACCACTTCTGTGAAAATGAAATGTGTATATCGAGATTTTGTAATGCGGAGAAAACAAGTCATACTGAAGAAATAGCCAGAATTTATCCAAAATTTCTATATAATCCTAAACAGTTGGCATGCAGATGCGTGCTATTTAATAATAACAATGCTATACGAATGGTGCTTGCTTTTCAGAGAAGTGATTTACGTGTTTTCTATTAGCTGCAGTGCTAAATGGACAAAGTGTTAGGCATGCAGAAACACACAGCTTAAGTGCTGCAGGTCTGTTCTATACTTCGAAACCAAACAATGTCCAACCGGCTGGAACACTAGCTCACGTGTGTGTGTACATGCACTCTCGCTGTGGGAAAAGTAAGTGCAGACAACAGCTCCATCTCGCACACTGACCTTGTACTTATTAAAATACAAATAGGCATCAAAATTGGCAAATAAACTGCACCGAACTAAGCCGAACCACTCCATTGGAATCGTAGCTCCAAACGTCTGTCGCTTCTGTTTTCATTAACACAGCTCCTACTACTTATATTGCTCTTACTGTCAAGAGCCAGAAAAGATCGATAATTTTTTTTTCTCTTATTTGCCGACGTTTCACAAGCCACAGGAAGAAAGATTTAGAAACCATATTCAGAAAATTAAACATTACTTTAATTCTAAAAATATCCTTCCCTTGGGGCTTCTTCTCTGGGCCACAGCAACAGGAGCGTTTGCATAGCAGTTTGTGAATTTCTCAGACACAAGAAGGTTTGCTTTTTAAATTTCTTTTTTTCCTGTTTTTTTTACCTAATGAAATTCTAGTTATTTGAAATTACCATCTATGTAATCCTTTCAATTATTAGTTATGTACCTACTTCATTCGTAAATCACCTTATGATTATCCACTCTTATATTCCCTAGATGACTCAGTAATCATTTTTTCTTCTTCAAAATTTAACAATTTATTTTCCCCATTACAATAACCGCCGGTTTAATTAATGGACAATCATCCATAGTGGGTACGAGCCAAAGCATATAGGCACAAGGAAGCAAGCAAGCTCCTTCATTGCACATAACACACATATCTCCGCTAACTTGATATCACATTAAACAAACATGTCGGCACGTAAGAGGTAAACAAACATGTCGGCACGTAAGAGGTGTCACGCAAACTCAGTCAGAAAGTAACCGCTGACAAACTTTAGGGTGAGAAACCACATAATGGGCGCTGCTGCTGCAGGAAGGAAAATGTCACATATTCAATTTAAAGTCACGACAAGCGCGTACCAAATATGCACATGTGATGAAAAGGAGTTCAACAATCGTGTGCAAGGGAGCGATCTATGATGCTTTCTGGTTCACCGTGAATCTGAAAGTAGTACATCATGCAGGTCAATTGTCAGAAACTATTTCCTTCGCTCAACGCGGCATTCAAACAAATCTAAGCCTAATTTATTTGACAGTATTTGCTCTACAGCGCACGGTGTTGCACAAACTAAGAATAATGCTTGACAACATGAACTTACTACTTAGCATGCATAGCTTTTCGATCAAGTGGAGAATCACTGCGTATAAATTTATGGACACCCTGCACATGTATGGGTGGCACAGCAGCAGAAGGAAAACGATCTCCACAGCAAAATATTACTTCTTCCCTTTATTGCCCCCTGATAAAATGAGCAAGATCCACAAAGTAAAACAGACTTCAATGGGCCATTTATAGGCACGCAACGCATTATCGGTCGTTGACTCGCGTACACCTCGATTGCACGAAGTTTGCCATGGCTTCAACATCACTGACACATCGACATAAGAGGCTAATAAAATCATCGTACAATACGCTAAAGACAAAAGCGTACACGTTTCATACCTTTCCAACGGTGCTACAAACGTAGAACAGAACGTTAACGTGGGGTCCTAGTGGCTGAATAGTGGGTGCCGAGCGCCGTCGATTTCTTCAGCAGGAAGTTATTTATGAAGTGGTGGACCCGTGGACCTTGTAGCAAGAGAGCGGCGCTGGCGGCGCTGCTGCCCATGAAAACGAAACTGAAGAACATCACGATAGTTACAGCGCGAGAACAAAACGACGAAACAGAGACAAGAAGGACACGAAGGACACGAGCGCTCGTGTCTTTCGTGTCCTTGTCTCTGTCGTCGTTTTGTTCTCGCGCTATAACTATCGTCATGCCATACCAACTAGCCCAAGCTGCCACACTTGAAGAACATCCATGGGGATTCTGCGGTAAAGTCAGCATGCGGTGCACTCAAGTTCCGGCATCCTGCGTGCCGAGACGTAATGTTTGCGAGGCAATAACAAAAAAATGTGAAAGAGCATTGAGTGAGTAAAATCAGTGATAATTGTGCGTCCTTCTGCTGGTTGGTTAGTTATTGGACATGACAAACTGAAATTTTTACGTGTTGTATGACTTCGATACCAACGAACTACTAATTTTTAACTTATTGTAATTTCTGGACTTAATTCCATCTACTCTGGTGTCCAACTGACATTTTAAGCATGTAGAGGCTCCATGGAATATTTTTAAAACAAAATATAAGCCGTAAAGAAAGAAAGTAAGTAAGAAAGGAAGAAAGACATAAATAAATAAATAAAGGAAGAAAGAAAGAAAGAAAGAAAGAAAAAAAGAAAAAAAGAAAAAAAAAGAAAGAAATAAAGAAAGAAAGAAAGAAAGAAAGAAAGGAGAAATGAAACTTCATTATGTGTTATCAAATAATAAACTTCAATATGTGTTATAAATTATCAAATAATTATTTCTTTCAACTGATTGGTCGAGATCCCAAGATTACGTTTGGAAACTATATTTGTTTTTACTTCCGCTAATTTCAGGCCAGCTTCAACCCACTCAACTACAGTGAACACTAATGAACCATAATGTTGCTTATAGTGTCAATTTGTTTTCACGGGCCCACATCGATTCGTTATTTTTGTTCTTTCTGCGAATATTCATCATGGGGAAAAAATTAAGGCCCGTAAATGCTGAACTGAGACAAGGTTTATAGCGACATATGTAGAATTTACGTGTTTTTGAGATTGCTGTAGTAACAGCCATAGGGGGAGGGGAGGGCACCCTGTCTAGTCACCTAAACAGCGTGGAGGGCAAAGCCAGTCCCAGGTATTGACATTAGGGAGGGGGGATGCTGCGACTCCGGCGGGGAGGGGGGTGCAAAATCAGCTCCTATTAGAGAGAGGGGGGCGCTGCGACGACCTTTGCCCCCCCCCCCCCCCCCCCTGAAAAGGAACCCTACGCACACGCCTACGGTAGCAGCAAGCACTGCACCCCAAGAAATATAAAGGCACATAAAAACAGTTATGGATGCCAGTTTAGCAGCATTCTTATTTCAAGCACGTGGCTCCTCAGCTTCGGCAACCATGCAAGGACCAACCAGTGAAGGGTGAAGGTGGAAGGCCACCCGCTCTGTGCAGGTTGGCCACTCGGCCTAAGCGCAATGTGGGCCTGAGGCAAAAAAAAAAAAAAATAAAGAAAAGAAAATCAAAGAGAGGGGGGGGGGGGGCAAAGAAAAGCATTTATTATCTATTCTACTTTGTGGACCTGCAAATCTAAGCAGCCAACGGATTTGTTATTTCGTTCATTCATATATTTTTACATTTAGAATTTTTCGAATTCAGCGTATGCTCTTTTAAATCGCGTTCACCTAGATTCGTGGGTCATAATTGCAGCGCGAAGATTATGCACATGCCTTCATTTTTTTCATATACCTAAGATAAATTAATTACCTTAATTGCTTATTTATTCAGTTACTCTCCTACTTTTCTGTTTATTTTCAGTGAAGATGCGGAAAGTACTGGTATTTGCCTCAGTGATATGTGGAAAATAACTGCTAGGAGGTTTCAGGAGAGCGAGCAAATGGTCGACAAGGTTCGAGGAGTTTCGATATGCTCTTATTTTTTATTACTCTCAGTGTCGCAGACATGTCAATCAACTCGCTCTGTTCGCCAGCTGCCGTTGACCTTAATTTGTCTGGGTGTAAACGGTCGCTTTCTTTTTCTATAGTGACGGTGAAGCCGTCCATCATAATGATTACAGTTTTTTGTTGAGTAATAATTGTTTGGGGAGTTATGGCCTATAGTTATATACAGGTTCACCGTATATAAACACGCAGAAACAAAATTAAGCTGACGACGACGCTACAAGCTCCAAGCAACGAGTTGTGAAAGCTTTAGATTTGCGAAAGGCTGGTTTGGATCTACTGCTAAGGCCCGTATTCCCAAACCAACTTCAGCCTTACCTCACGTTTTCCTCAACTTCCAGTACTCTCTACATGCGTTATAAAGGCACATAAATAGTAACAAGGTGAAAGATAAGGACAAGACTTGTTTATGAATACTGTTCCGATTTGCTTATGCGCAATAAAAGTTTAAAACCGATAAGGAATGACTATATTATTGCACTCTGACTGAACCTAAAACTCGCATTGTGGGCTTGGAGACTCAAATCGCCCAAGTGGTACAAGTGTATACTAAAAAAACTGAAATGCAGCCTGTCATGCTGGCACATCCTACAAGAGATGGAAGAAGAAAGAACCAACCTTTGTTTTAATTTATTCAGTTATTTACCAATACTGTTCTTACAGAATAACAAAAAAACATTTCTTTAGTGATATCTAACCAATATTGCGCCCCGGTGTTCCGCCCGTTTTAAAATGAATGAACTTTTAAGCCGCGCGCCCGACTAGCAAATGCTCACGCTTACGACAAAAAAGAACAAAAAAAGAATTACATATGCGATATCATTGACCATACGCGTGCAGCAAAACAGTTCTTTCGTTTTCAGCACGAATTCCAGACAGACCGCGGCCGTCGATTCAAGTGGGTCACATCTATACGTTAACGGAATTTGAGCAGTTTGTTTATTTCAAGCGGGTCTCACTGATGCCTTGAAACGATTTGGGAATATATATGAGAATCATTTGATGACAATCAGTCCCAATAACGCCTTTAATCAGGAATAGGCAACCTTTTGAGGCGAAGCGCCGTGTTTCACGAGGCTGACACGGTGGGGGCTGCATGTCAAATCGGGAAAGTCAAAAACAAGAAAGAGGGGGGGGGGGACACGCAAAAAAAGGCTGAATTACAACAGTGATGAACAACACCATAACATGAATTATGTTTAATTCAAGAAAGCATTGCTTCGAAAGTTTGCAATACATAAATCTGTTACAAGAGAAAAACAAACTATCTCAATGTGACTTTTGGTGCTCAACATTCTTAGCCAACTCACTTTATGTATGTTCCTGTGTGCGTTTGTATGTGCGCGTATGTATATTCGCAAGCAAAACCGAAAATTTAGAGGTGTTGGAACTCCCCCCCCCCCCCCCTCTTTCCTGGGTAGGTTGACGACCCCTGCCTTAGACCATCATCAATTCAATAAGAATACACGAGCAAAGTACGACATAAAATAACATAATTTCCCAGAAATATTCGACGCGAAGAATTGTGCATTCGGGGGCAACTCGCAAACCAGGTGACAGGAAAAGAAATTGCCAAAGGTGGAGTACTTTCTTCACTGTCACAAGGCTTGAATTATTATTATATAGTTGGTATCGATTTTGACTATGCAAATCACATTCATACAAGTTTATCAGTTTTAATTTCTGTGGTATGCTTGTAAAGGTGACGTAGCTTTGATAATCGTTTGGGTTTTTCCTACCAAAACCACGATATGATTATGAGGGAAGCCGTAGTATTGGGCAACCATAGAAATTTATTACACCTGGCGTTCTAAGTACACGCACCTCTGGTCATTCGCCTTCGGGTCAGCAGTCAAACACCATAACCACCGTACCAACGCGGCGGGCCGGTTATCGAAGCAACTTTAGCATTTGCTAAAGTGTCGAAGGACGACTACGAAGTGTTCGAATATCCAAACGCTTTTCCCTGTGCTCTCTGAATTTTTCGGTGAAACCGTTCGATTTTCCTGGTGCCTCAGCTCCCCGTCTTGTTGCCATGGACGCGGGGCATTCCAGGGGGCCACCTGGCCAGCGGTGATTTCGGCCGACCACCGCAAGTAAGAGAGGAAACTCACCCAGTGACACCGAGGATACAAAGCTGTACACAACCGCTCAAAAGACGACTCATCCGACGAAGATTTCATTCTCGTCTGGAGCAAGAGGGCGAAGAAAAGGATCATCAACGCAGCCTCGCCCACTCTTGCGAGTGCAGCGGCTATGAAGTCAAGGCATGAGCGTTGGCCCCTCGTCATCATCTTTGCGCCTCAGGAAAGCTCAGAGTCCTCAGTAAACCTGCGACTGCTGAACTGGCAAGCACTCTCCACCTTTTTTGGAACGTGCGCTGCCTCATGTAATCAAGGACGTCAGAGTCCGAAAAAATATACTCGCCATAGACGTTTTCCATATGAATGGGCTAGGACCATTTCAACAAGTGACAGAGCTAGGCAGGATCGAAGTGCGCCCCTTTATAGGGATAGACAAAGCATCTATAGATATAGCTGGTGTGATATACTACGTAGACATTGCGACTCCCTACGCTGACTGGCCTATACCCTCATTAAGTCGGCAAATGAGGGTACTGTCATCACTGAAGTGCACCACATTGGGATGTCACGCTGTGGGAAACTGGTCTTCAAAGGCGTTTGCACGTCCGAGTCGGACATTTTCGACATCCTGTTCGGCCATTAGTGCAAAAGCCACTTCAGTGTGATCGGTGCTTCAAGCTATAGGTCACGCCAAGGACGTGTTCCCGAACTCGCTGCGGTGCTCCCGGAGCGCAGAACCGCATTCGGCAGATACCGGTCGATCCACATTTCTTAAATGCGGCTCACACGCTGTCTCATCAAAAGACTGCCTTCGAATTAAGAAGAGCGCACGGTGCTTAAGAAAGTGGTAAGAGGCAATTCGTCTCACAGGGAGGCTGCCGAAACAGTGCGGCGGCGGCGTCGGCACCATCGTTCGACCTCTCGAAAGGCTCGAAAAGCTCGAAAC